TTCTGTTCCTTAAATCATACTGATAGAAATGCCTTCACAATTAATGAACTGTTCCCTACCGAAAAAAAAACAGCTTAAACCAGCCTAGGCTGGTTTTAGCTGGTCAACCAGGCTGGTTTTAGAGGGGTTTTGGCCACTTCCAGGCTGGTTTCCAGCCATTTCCAGCCTGGTCTTAGCTGGTCAGGCTGGGAGATGACCAGCGAAAACCAGCTTGACCAGCCTAGCCAGGATGGAAGCCCAGCCAAAAGCAGCTATGTCCAGCTTAAACCAGGCTGGTCAAGCTGGTTTTAGCTGGATTTAGCTGGTCATTTTCCAACCAGACCAGCTAAAACCAGGCTGGAAATGGCTGGCCAAAACCCCTCTAAAACCAGGCTGGTCAACCAGCTAAAACCAGGTAACCAGCCTTGGCTGGTTTAAGCTGGATTTTTCAGCAGGGTTGCTACTCCGTTAACTTATTACTCAGTTAGCATATGCTGCTAATGTAAGTATCTAATGTTACAGGTGGATGAACTGACTTAAATGTCGTGCTCTTGTCTGCATAATGTATCACCTGCTGATTTTTCCCCTTATGTCTATGGCAGGAGTGTCCAAATGTGTTTCTGGAGGGCCAGTGACCTCTGGAGTTTTGCTTCAACTTTGATTAAATGCATGTGAACAAGCTAATCAAGCATTTTAGGCTCATTACCCTGCTTAAAAAAACTGCATAGGCTGGTTGGCTGGTTGAACAACGTGTTTTTAGAGGGATTGTGGCCATTTCTAGGCTGATTTCAGCAATTCCAGCCTGGTCTTTGCTAGTCAGGCTGGGAAATGACCTGCTAAAACCAGCTTGACCTGCCTGATTTAAGCTGAACATAGCTGGTTTTGGCTGGGCTCCCAGCCTGGCTAAGCTGTTCAAGCTGGTTTTAGCATGTCATCTCCCAGCCTGACTAGCAAAAACAAGGCTGGAAATCGCCAAACCCCTCTTAAACCAGGCTAGTCAACCAGCTAACCAGCTTGGGCTGGTTTAAGTAGTTTTTTTCAGCAGGGAGAAATGTCGAACCACAGGTTTTATGGTGTGTTGAAGATGCCGGAAAAATCGTACTTACAAGTTGAATGCACAAGAATGTTATGATGGCTGTTTTCGAAACACCGCTTCATGAAGCTTTGAAGCCTTTCTAAATCTCTTGTTTTGGAGGATGTATTAAATAAGCATGGTCACATGATTTCAGTAAGCAGGGCTTCTTGTTATGTTACTACCGTTTCAAATCATTCTGAAAACTCAATGTTTATTAGCTGGGGCGATCTGAGTGATGCCATTAAATCCATGTGAATCATGCGGGTTCATGCAGATCGCCCTCTAGTGGTTAATCAATGAAAAGGTTTCATTGGTTTTACCTGATCTTGGATCAGTTTTAGAAGTTTGTAGATGTTTTAGTCTGAAGAATGAAAGAATAATATTAGTTAATAGTTTCTTGTTGGAGCCACAACGGAACAAACAATAGACAATCCTTGAAAATATATAAAAGAATGCATATTGTGCAGATTTTTAATAATAGTATATAAGCTAAGCGCAATTATAGGTTACACTTAAAGTGAATGCTTCAAGTCATTTTGTGAATCAACTGTTCTGAAGCTTTTTCTCCCATTTTCTCTCAAGTTATGAATTTTCTCTTAGTCCTGAATTTCCAGGTTGGGGCCAAGTCGGCAAGAAACATGGCAGAATTGTTGGATACAGTGTTTGTCAGTCTCTTTATTTACTAAAAAGACAAGCTTTTTGAATGTGACGGCATTGTAATACAACAACGATTACGTTTTTATATGATTAGATTTAAGTGGCCTCATAAATTATTTTCAAAACTATTAAAAAATGCAAAACACACCTGATGCGAATCCTTTGCTTCTCATTTCTTATCAGGAGAGTTAACAAAGCCTGCTGTAAATTCTGTACATCATAATTACGACTTGTCAAATAAGTACTAATGTCCCAGGAGGAGGAATTGAACATAGCTTTAGAGCTGGTTGGACGTAAATGGTTAGTAATGTTGGCCATCCAGGATCAAGATTGGACACCCATGGTATATGGCTATGGCTCATTCAAATGTGTATCATCAGTCTGGTGTGCTGCTGGCTTCGCTGGATCCTCAGGAGAGTCTCCACAAGCTCCAGCAAGGTCTCTTTCACTGGTCGACCCGTAGGCTCTTTTCAAGCTGTTTCCTAAAGACTTGCAGGACTTGGTAGACCAGCTTTTGGATCTCCCAGGAAGGAACATCGTGTCCTCTGGCAGGAGCAGATGGCTGCCGTCAGAGTCACAGGGAGTTGCGATTGTTGTTACCTCATCTGTTTTTTGTCCATCTTGCTTCTCCGTTCCTTCCTCCTTTCCGTAGCTTCCTTCAGGATCACCTGGTTCTCTTGCCGTCTCCAGCTCAGTGTTCGCTATGTCATTCCTTTCTTCCTGATTCATCTGATCTACTTCTGGCAATGTCACCCCTTCTGCTTGTGTCTTGTTTATTCCATCTTCAATTACCTCCTGAGCTCCTTCATGATTCACTGCTTCATCAGAAGCATCTAGTATCTTCTCACCATCTTGCAATCCTATCTCTTCTTTACTGTGTCTGGAAGAAGATCTTGGCCTCTGGTCCTCAGTATGTTCCTGTACCTTGAAACTGTCCTTAAACTTGTCGATCTCATCTACTAAGGGTCTAACCATTGAAACCTTTGGTGTCTGACCGAAAAGACTAGCATGCACCTTATACTCATAGCCAGCACTCCAACGCCTTGAAGAAGCAGATCCATCAATTCCTTCTCCATCTTGACTTGCTTGTCTTCCTCTTGCTTGATTGTACAAGATCGTGCTCTTAGACCTCCGCACAGTGGTCGGGGATTTGCTTTGTACTTCTGAGGGATAGTATCTGAATGCTGCAACCTTTTCCAGAGGGTAAGATGTAGTTGCCTGAAGCTTGGTTCTCTCCATCGTCAAGGCTTGTTTTAGTGTGTCACTTTCCAAAGAAGCCGTTGGGTTTTCAGGAACTGTCGATTTGGGAGATTCTGCCTTTGTGCCTTCAACTTCATCACCTTTCTCACAAGGGAAGATTCTGATGTCCACACATGAACCGAGGCGTCTTTTTACCCCTGGAACATCTACTTCTAGGTTCTGGCCATATTCTTTTGTGTTGACACTTGTTGTACTCTGTGTTTTATTCGGATCTCCCTCTTTCTCCTCTGGTGGACGTTCATCAACACCGAGGTAATAGCGGTAGAGGCTGTACCCGTCAGCACTGTTGATGCTACTGTGACGCTGCAGAGATGAGGGATCGCAAATCGAGGAGGCTGTAGAGCGGCTCCGGGTCAGTTCAGAGTGGTCGATTCCTACCAGTCTTTCTAAGGCATTCACCATTCGACCATTGATATCCTCTAACTGGGACAACCGGAGGTCTACTGTCTGAAGGGAGGCCTTCATTGTGTTTTCCCTTTCATTAACCTCCTCCAGGCGCATAGACATGTTCTCGACCCTGAGCAGGAGCAAGATTATGTAAATGGATTCCGGTTCAAGCAGACATTAATGTACTAGTATTCCTGTAATGAAATTACCTTTCGTTTGTAACCCTGATGCGCTCATCGTTTGAGGAAAGTTGCTCGTCTTCTTTCTCCCTGAAATACTCCTCTACACATTGCTCCTCAAACTCGTACAGCATCTTCAGCTCATCCGGGGTGAGTATAAGCTCTTTATTAGGAAAACACAGCAATTAATCATCTCAAATTTATCAGTTGCATATTATTTGGTACAATAATCTTAAGACACTCACTCAGTCCTTTATCTTTCTCATCCAGTTCTCCCTCCTTTTTCTTGCTACAGCGGCAGCAGAGTTTGCGAAATAGGATGTAGAGGTGGCTCAAGATTATGAGCGGTGGAGGAAGCACAGGTCTGTCGTGAAAGGTCATGATGAGCTGATATCTCTGGAACTTCCACACCTGGTTGGAGATGGACTTAACCTCAAAGAATGTGTTGCTTTAATGGGAGGAAAAACACATGAAACTAGTGAATTACACTACTGAGATTGACCAGAGTTGCACCAATAAACATGTTTTGATAAAGTTTATTGGTCATAAAAGAGTTTTATGTTGCAACAAATCTTTTGCTCTTTGATTTTATGCCCTTAATAAGTGAAGTCTGTAATAGTAGGAGCCTTACTTGAAGACGGCAATGAGCAAGTTCACCAGCAGGATGTTGGCCACCAACAAGTAACAGGCCATGATGGCGGGAGTCAGCCAAGCTCCAGGGATGCACGGAGGAAGCTTCTTCCCATCCTCATCATATAGGTTTTCCCCACAGGGTGCTGTATAGAAAAAGCTTTTACATTATCATGCCAGAATCTGTGCTGGATTCACTTAAACAATTCCATTATACCATGGTTATTTTTCTTGAAAATTGAATGTTGAATGTTTAGCATTTTGCTTACGATTTATTTCCATAGCGTAAACTTCAGGACATTCCCGATGGACAGAGCAGAGATAAACAGTTAGTTAGTGCAATTGAAAACCAGAAACAAAGAAACACATGTGCAACAAAAAATAATCAAACCCAACATCTCAATCAAGAGACAGGCAACTAGAAACTGCTGCGATGTATATGTTCGATGGCTAACAGACTGAAATAACTACTATAATCTGACTGATAGTGTTTCTTGATTCAATTTAGAAAGCTACAAGACTGAATACGCAAAAGTTTCCTAACACAACGGGTACTTGGCATGATGTTCCAGCTTGGAAAGTATATACTCTATACAGCTTGGATATTAAACACTATAGCTTAGATGTGGCCAAGTCTCAAAATTCTCGAAAAACAACTAACCTGCCTGTAGCTATCTAGTAACCCCTGTTACTAGGGGTGTCTAAGTAGGGTTGGAGCACATCTCTGCAGGAATATGTCTCTACAAGACTAAACATGGCCACCCTAACATAAATAATGACAGGGATTATAGAGAGTTGCTGGAATTTTGGATCAGACTGTTGAAGGCCATCTATCTACCCTAGAGGCAGGAAACAAAATCTTACTATGAATTCTAGTCTTACGGTCTATCGAATCTGCAAACACCTCTCCATAGATCATCCAGTAGGGCATGTAGAAGATGTTGCGGGCCAGGCGCCATGTGGGCTCCTCATCTGGGTGGAGGATGGCCTGCCGTGCCACGCCAAAACTCATCAGGACCACCAACATGATCACCACAAAGTACAGCATGTCAATCATCTGCAAGATAAGTTGAAGGTCTTTCAAGTCAAGTCTGTATTGTTAATTATAAAGTATTACCATTGTTGTAGTGCATTACCATTTTCCCGATCATCATGACGTAGGGTCCGAGGTACTTGTTGACCCCGAATATGTCTAACACGCGGATGTACCAAAAGATGATATCCACGCAGTAGATCACACGGCCGTAGCCCATGTAAGGCTCATTTTGCAGCCTGAGTAGTAGCCCAAGCAAAAAGACAGAGATGGCCACTAGGTCTGTGATGTTCCAGTACTCCTCCAACCACACGTTAATCTTTTGCTTGAGCTTGCCTGGTTCGGACATCAAAATCTGATGTCGATAGAAATAGCTTCGATTAGTTTTGAATTCGCATTGATTTCTGGAGCTCCAATCGTGTCTTAACATTTACCTGTCTGACTTTCTCCAACCCCAAAGTGATGATGTACGAAATGACGATCCATTCTTGTAAAGACGGCCATCGCTCCATCTTCACCAGTACTACGTAATTGTACAGCATGAGATAGCCAAGATAGGAAATCTGTCCAATTCAAGAAAGTGTTCCATTCGGTCAATTTTCATTCCTACAACCCTACACTACCTGACTAAAGTCTTGTCGTCAAATCAAATTGTGAGAGCAACAAATAATAACCTGACTTCTAGTTGATCTTTCGGAAAAGTGGAGGAAGGTACATTTTTCTGATGAATCGTCTGTTGATCTGCATCCTAATCATCGCAAATACTGCAGAAGACCTACTGGAACCCGCATGGACCCACAATTCTCACAGAAATCAGTCAAGTTTGGTGAAGAACAAATCATGGTTTGGGGTTACATTAAGTATGGGGGAGTGCGAGAGATCTGCAGAGTGGATGATCAACATCAACAGCTCGAGGTATCAAGACATTTGCGCTGCCCATTACATTACAAACACACAGGAGAGGGCAAATTCTTCAGCAGGATAGTGCTCCTTATACGTCCTCCAAGCTCATGACGGAGTCAGACACCATATTCATTCTGTCTCCACTGCAGCAGGACTTTATATTGAATACTGGACATTATTTCTGTTCAGTGACAAGACTTTTGTCTAAGCAAAGTCAGACCTTACTGTCCTAATTAAATCATTAAAAATCAAGACATGATCATATTTTATTTAGGTCAAATAAGCGTCATCTAGAGGCCTTTGCCTTTCATATACAGTAAGCCACTTCTGATACCGAATGATCAACTAGAAGTAAACTTATTTTTCGTTGTTCCTAAAACTTGGATAGGCGATAAGACTTTTGTCAGGTAGTGTACACAGGAGAAGCACTTTGGGAAATAGATGGCTGAATATTGTGCTCACCGTATTGAACCAAAACTTGGTGAAAGGGGCGTTGTAGAACTCAAAGATTTTCGTCCCAATAGGAATACGCCTCATTTTCTTATTTCCATCCTCCTCGTCTCCTTTCTTAGAGGCTGCATCTGCATTGGCATCCTAGGTGTAAATAAGGTAGATTTACAACAAGTGCAATAAATACAATCTAATACCAAAACCTAATACTAGTCCATAATGCTTCTACTTCACCCTACCCCTCCATTTTAAGCATAACCATGAATGAGTTGGGGTACCTCCATTCTACTTTGGTTGGAGGAGTAGGGTTAGGGGGAAAGTGCTATACAAATAAAGATGAACTAAATAAACTTAAGAATTAAGGTCTTAATGTCCATTCAACAGCTTACAGATCTACAGGGAGGTTTGCTTGAAAAAGAAGAGTCGTCCACTTTACCCGAGTGGATCTTTCATCATCTTTGGTCTTTTTGTCTTCATCGGCCACAGCAACCTGATGAGACGTGTCATCTCCCAGACGGAAGTCCAACAGCAGGATAAAAGGTGGGAAAATGAGGCTGAGTATGACCTGGATGAGCATTCAGAAACAAAAGTGAAAAGCAAATCACAGCTAGGACAAATTATTATGCATTATTGTAATGAGCTACGTTTCTATCCACTTATTTTGGGAGCATTTTGGAATATTGCATAAAAATGCTCCAACCCAGACTCACTGCGGATACGTACCCAGGTCCTGGGGACAGGGAAACATGTAACCAAAGGTACATCTGCTCACAGTTTTTGTTTTTGCAAATCCACCAGAGGTCGCTGTGTACACTTTTTGATGATCAAAAATTCCTGTTCTCGCTTAAATCCACTAGAGGGCGTAATATACACTTCAGCCGACCAGGCCGACTTACTGTCGACTGAATTAATGATCAACTGACCCACTCACCCCCTTCTCTAAACCCAACCGATAGTGTTTTCAAAAGCAATCTAGAAAGAGAAAAGCCATCGCCGCTATGTGATTTCACCACATTTTCAGCCCTTTTTTAAAATTATTTTTAAAATTATTTATTCATTCATTCATTTTTTGCTTTTGTTTTACCTGGTTCCTGGAACTGTTCTTCATCAAACTCAAATGCAGTCATTGCGGTCAACTCAGCTCTGCATCCCAAGGCCACTGATGTGCACAGCTTACTACTGGGCAAACTAGTGACACCAGAAAAGCTGCCCATACGGAAGTAAGCAGTCACCGGTAGTGCGAAAAGGAACAAAAGCCGTGTCAGCGGCGTCATACAGCCCTATATTGGTGGTTTTCAAAACGAAATGCAGCCAGATGTACCTCTGAGTACATAATTTGTGCTCTACAGAAATGTATACAGGGGAACGTATCCACTATGAGACTGTTGCCATGCTCAATGAAAACAGCAAGATGTGCAAACGTTTTGAAAATGTGTATAAGATAATTTTAATTCATTCATTCATTTTCTTATCGGCTTAGTCCCTTTAATAAAATGGGGGTCACCACAGTGGAGTGAACCGCCAATTTATCCAGCATTTATTTTATGCCAGCGACGCAGTGGCGCAGTAGGTAGTGCTTTCGCCTCACAGCAAGAAGGTCGCTGGTTCGAACCTCGGCTCAGTTGATGTTTCTGTGTGGAGCTTGCATGTTCTCCCTGCGTTCGCATGGGTTTCCTCTGGGTGCTCCGGTTTCCCCCCACAGTCCAAAGACATGCGGTACAGGTGAATTGGGAAGGCTAAATTGTCCATAGTGTATGAGTGTGTGTGGATGTTTCCCAGAGATGGGTTGCAACTGGAAGGGCATCTGCTGCGTAAAAACATGCTGGATAAGTTGGCGGTTCATTCCGCTGTGGCGACCCCGGATTAATAAAAGGGACTAAGCCGACAAGAAAATGAATTTTCACCTGCAACCCAACACTGGGAGACACCCATACACTTTTGCATTCACTCATACACTACGGCCAATTTAGCTTATTCAATTGCCTTATACTGCATATCTTTGGACTGTGAGGGAAACCGGAGCATCCAGAGGAAACCATGTTGATGTGGGTTTCCTTCAGGTCCTCCGGTTTCCCCCCCAAGGACATGCTCTAATGGCAAATTGGATGAACTAAATTGCCCGTGGTGTATGAGTGTGTGTATGGGTGTTTCCCAGTACAGGGTTGGAAGGGCGTCCGCTGTGTAAAAAAAAACATGCTGGAATAATTGGTGGTTCATTCCGTTGTGGCGACCCGTGATAAATCAGAGACTACGCCGAGAAAAAATGAATGGATGAAGGAATGTTTTATGAAATACTTCAGTTTTGAGCAGGAATCTAATTTGCATCATGTGCAATGACAAAATAAAAACTGCCTCACCTTCAGCCCAGGGTTTTTGCCCATCCTCAGGCTGCCCATCCACATGTCTGTGAGCAGCATCTGGCTGCAGGTGTGGGCGATGAAGTCTCTGTGTTTAGCGGCCACCGCCAGCTTCAGACAGGTGGAGTTACTCCAGTTCTTTAACTCGTAGGTCAGCAGTTTCATGGCTAGCTGCTCGTCGTGTTTGTAAGACTGATCCAGCAACTCATAGGCCAAGGTTCCAAACTCTCTAAAATTGGCAGAAGAGTAAATTTACAGAGCATAAATGCAAATAAATACACTTATAGCACTATACCTCAATTTCTATGGTCAGGCATTCTCAAACCAACATCAACGCTCATACTGATACATTGTGTGTCTAGTTTAGTTATTTGCATGCAGTGAACTCACTTGGAGTTGTTGTCGAGGTCTTGAGAAATATCGTCCACCATCTCGCTCTGAGAGGACTCGTGGGCCATGCCTTTGAGGAGCTTACAGGCCACCAGAGCTTTGGCCATGCCCTCCTCGCCCCTCTGCCACAGGAATAAAGCCATCTTCTGCCTCTTCATCAGCACCGCCCACACCATCAGCTCGTGAAACGGGTAGTGGAAGCGACTGACCTCTGGGTCGTCCACGTCGATGTCCTCTTCCTCCTCTTTCTTCTTCTTCTGCTTCTTCTTGCCTTTTGACCTGGGCTCGTCATCCTGTTGAGGTAAGGGTGATATTTACATTAATGCATGTGGTTTGGGAATGTCATTACAAGAAGGTCAAATAACAGACGTGTACCTCCATTCCAAGCAGCTTCAAGGCTTTGGGCTATAAAAAAAAAGAGGACATTTGATTATTAGTGTTGTGATTTAAAGTTCACCCTTGAATGAATATGTCACGGGGAAGACCATGCAAACTCCACACAGAAATTCCAACTGGCCCAAGGACTCAAACCAGCGACCTTTTTGCTGTGTGGCAATTCTGCTACCCACTGCGCCCCCTTACACCAATACTAATCTAGAGATGTCAAATTATAACCTATTTACTCATTGTAACCTCCACATCTCACCCTCTTTAGTCCATAGAGATTGTTGTAAAGAGCTCGGAAGTTTTTCCGTGTGTAGTTGCAGCGATAGGCTCCGCCCATCAGGTACTCCACCACTAGT